CCTCGACTTCTTCAGGCCCACCCTCCTGCTTTAACCTCAGCTTTCTGGACCGCTTGCTGTTCGGATTCCTTGGCTTCTTGGGCATCGGAGGATAAACAAATCTTTCCGACAGTGGCAATATCCAGCGCGATGCTTGTTCCAACTTTGGCTTCAACTTGAGCTGCAACCCGAAATGTGCTCTGCCCCCATCATGGCAGGCTGTGTCGCCCACAACGAATTAATCAATACATCTGGTCATAGACGGCGAGTGGACCATGAAATCGATCAACTTTTTCTTGCCCAATGTGCAAGTGTAATCTGAACCAACTGCAGTGCGAATGATGCCGTCTACCAGCTTGGACCTGCCAACCTTCACCTGTTCGCTCGGCTCCGCGTCGTAGTCTCCTATGGCCAACCAAGGCGTGCGTATGCACTGAATCAGCTGCCCATCTGAATCAACTTGTCAATACTGGTGCCTGTCAATCCTATGCCTGCGGTGAGATAAGCTCCTATGGTGGTGATCGCCTGACCCCCGACCTTCAGCTGGAAAGCGACTAGGTCCTTGAAGTCTAGGCCCTTCTGCTTGGTGATCTCTGGCCCGTTCAACATACGGAGGCCCGTCTGCTGGACGGGCTTGTTCGCCAGATGCCTGAATGACTGAAACCTGTAGCGCTCCAAGACTCCTGCCGTGATGCCTGCTGCATGCTTGACGCCGCTGGCCGCATGCGATGGCGCCACTAGCGCCTGGTAGCCACATCTGTCCCACTCATGTAGAACCTCATGGCACTCTTCTGGCAGGAGATGTAGTTCTGGAAATATGAGGACATCGTGGGCCCTCTCCTTCAGCAGCCCCTTCGCAGGAAAGCCCCATCCAGAGAGGTTTCGCAGGTAGAGACTCTTCACGTCTTGGGCCCCAGCATCAGGAGCTAGACCCTCCCCCAAGACCCTTCCCACTGGCACGAAAACCTCCCACCAGACCCTCGACCTCTTGCTCGAGGCGGGCCTGCTGTGGGTCCAGGGGGCCGCTACCCACCACAGCCCCTAGCTGAGGGGCCGTGCCCTGTCGGCCCTGTGGGCCTGGAGTTCGGGCCGTCCCTGTTGCTGACGCCCCACCTCATGAGCCAGTGGCCTCACCTGCTGGTGCGGTCTCTGGTACCTTCCTCTTCTTCTTCGCCCTCTCCATGGCTTCCGCCAACTGCTTCTCGTGTTCGTCCAACTTTGACTGCAGGGCCCCGTGCGACCGCTGCGCCGCCTCCGACAGTGCCTGCTGCAACTGCAACTTGGCCCTGTCAAGCATCTTGCGGTCCTCCTTCTGCACCTCGAGGCCCTCCAACTGCGATTCGTAATTGATCTCCAGCTCGCACATCGACCGAGGCTGCTTTCTTGGCTGGCAACGCATGTGGCAGGTACTGCCGGGCGGCTGCAATCTCATTCTTCTCGGCGCGCTGCACCTCCTGCGTTGCATCGGCAAGGTCATGCTCTGTCTTCTCGAGCTCTTTCTTTTTTTCGGATCCACGCAGCCTTGGCCTTCTCAAGTAACTTTTTGGCGCGACTGACTCGAGCCGAAGCCTGCTGCAGACCCTGTCCTGGTTGGAGCGGGGGTTTGGGGGCTGGCTCCTCCAAGGCCTTGAGGAGCCCCTGAGCAGCCATCTGGGCCTTGGAGGGGAGCAGGCGGGCCAGTTTCCTGATCTGTTCTTCGGGGGGCTCTCTGGTGGCTGCAGGCGGTCCCGAACTCCACTTGTTGGGTAGAGAAGAAACAACATCATGATCATCAAAGAAGCAACCACACTCACAAGTCCAACTCTTCGACTTGAGGCGGTCCTGGAAGAGTTTTTTTGCCACAACTGCTGCATTCAACCATGGGCCGCCCTCGACGATTACCCCACCATCCTGACATGCTTGGCAAGGGCGGGAAGTCGAGCAACCGATCTGTTCCTTGACCTTTTCCTTTACCATTGGGACTGCCCGATCCATACCCACCCTGCACCCACGGCGCATAAGCGAACTTATTGTGCCAAGGCGCATGGCGCTGCACTCCCATCCCACAAAGAGAAGTAGGAGCGAGATCGGACTTAGATTACCGAAATGAAATGCCCCGAGTGGACGTCGGGGGGATACGCTTGGGGGCCGTGTGCGTCTCTGGGACGCCCCCCTTGCCGCAACTCTGTTCGCTGCTGACGCCTGAGCCACCGCTACGGACTTGAGCCACAATGGCTACGGATCTCTGGCTTCCTGGTGGGGCTCCAGCCTCTGCGAAGGTGCTTCCAGGTGGTCGGCCCGCCTGAGGAAGACCTCCGGGAACGAGCAATGACATAAACATAAACCTCGGAGGTCCGCGCAGATTTTTGGGATCGGCGCTGGGGCCCCCTGGGTGCGCCTCCAGCGCCGCCCCCTGCGAACAGAGCGCGCCAGGGAGGGGGGTCCAGCGCCGATCCGAGAAATCCGTTCGGACCTCCGAGTTATTACGTTTATGTCCCCCTGAGACCTGTTCCATCCGCCTGAGATTTCGCCTGGGTGGTCGGCTCCCTTCTCGCCTCGCATCCCCTCCGTTGGGCATCCCGCTTTGGAGGACGTTCCCTCGCATTTTGGGGGGGCCCTCGTTTAATTAGCCAGTGGTGTTGAGTCGCTGCGTTTCGGTCTCTCGAGGAAGCGCAAATTTGGAGTGAGGCGCGTGGATTAGCGATGGGTCCCGTGTCCGTTCAGGATCATCGGCGCGATCCTTCGCCAGCCCGGGCGGTATCGGCCCATCATTCGGGAGGTACCTCCCCAATCAGTGGTTCTTGCGCCCACGCGATCCCCCGCGGGCTTTCAACGCTGAACGCCGCCGGCGACCCACAATCGGTTAACGTTGAACGATCTTGCATTGCGGAAACTCAGGCCGACAGAAAGGGGTGGACATGGAAAGGGGGAGGTACAACAAATCTGCTGCAGCAGCTGGTTTTGGCCCCGCCGCAGGGCCCAGTTCTAGATGCAAGGGCGCCTCCCAGCGCCAGGAGGCGCCAGGACAAGCAGCTGCGTGAGCTGATTCTCTACCCTGCCCTTTGCTATCCTACCCGTTCGTGCCCCCCGAGACGAGGAGCCGATCTTTCTATATTCAAGGCGGAACGATCCCCGCGGTGTCGGGAACGAACGCCAAGGTCGACGCGACGCGAGTCCGCGGTACGTAATCCATGCTGGCGTGCGCCGGAGTCTCGATCGCGCCGATCCTGCGCGCAGGAGAACGGGCTCTCGTCGTGCCTGCCTGCAGGGTCCGGGGCGGGGCGAGGCGAGGGGGTCCCGTCAGCAGTTCCAGCCCAAAGGGAGGAGATGGAGGAGGAGTGGGGGGGGGAAGGGCGGAGGAGACGGGGACGAGGAGAAGGGAGATGACCAGTGTAAACCCAAGGGTCATCAACGATGTTGGAATGAGCCCTCCCTCGAAGCTCTCTCTTCGCATGCCCCATACAAAGGGTTTCTTTCCACTGACAGAACTGTGCATCGTTGGAAGACAACCGTGAGAAGACACGGAAGCATGCCAAAACATTGTTCTTGGGATTCCCACGCCACTGGTCAACCTGACTGTTGCGTCCGAACGACCCCAAATCATGCCAGAACGCCGTTCCTGTGACTCCAACACTGCGAATCAACGTAACCGTTGCACCCTCATTGACCTGAGCCCTTCCAAAACATAATTTCTGGTAAGCTGATCATGTGATTCGGTTCAACTTTTTGCAAGTTTTTGAAACGAATGTGCGTGGCGCAAAGGCGAGAGACACATTTTGAAAAGGAGCCGTCTCAATTCGCATAAATCTTGCATTGCAGAACGAATGTGTGCGGCTCTAAGGCGAGGGCCACATTCTGAAAAGGAACCGCCCTCAATACGTGAAGCCCGTGCAATGTTTGATACGAATGTGCGCGGAGCTATGAGGAGAGCCACATTTTGAAAACGGGTTCCCCTCAATCCGTGATTTTTTGGCAAATGTTCAAAACGAACGCGCGCGGCGCTAAGGCGAGAGCCACATTTTGAAAACGGGTTGCCCTCAACCCGTCAAACTCCTGCAAATGTTTAACACGGATGCGCGCGGCGCTGAACGAGAGCCACATTTTGAACACCCGCCTTCCATCTGTGAAGCGGTTGCCAATGTTTCAGCCTCAGGGTCATACATGGTGAAAAAGACTCAGGCGAAACGCCTGGTCCGCCCTAAAAACTTCACCTGGGGAGCAACAGGGAGAAGTTATGTGTAAGTTGATGGAATGGAGGAGGATGAGGAGGAGGAGGAGGAGGAGGAGGAGGACAAGGAGGCACATGATGAGGTGGAGGGCGGAGAAGAAGGGTAGCAACATGTGTGTATATATGTTTGTGTATATATATATATATATATATATATATATATATATAAATGTGTGTGTATGTGTGGGTATGTGTCGCGACATGGGTGTGCGATGCTTATATGTATATAGGTATATATATATATATATATATATATATATATATATATGCATATGCGCATTCATTCGTATACACATATCTCTCTATATATATATATGCTGTGTGCGTAGATAGTTGTACACAGGTATTTGTGCGTACATGCATTGCATGGTTACAGCACGTATATGTTATGCATCTGAAGAGAGAGAGAGAGAGAGAGAGAGAGGGAGAGGGAGAGGGAGAGAGGGAGAGAGAAGTGATGAGAGAGAGGGGGCGAGATAGAGAGACAGAGAGAGAGAGTGGGCAACACGACTGAGTGCAGAAGGGGTGAAGAGGAGAAAGGAGTGCAGAAAGGGTGAAGAGGAGAAAGAGGGAACACTTGGGAGGAACAGGGGGAGGAGCAAAGAGGAGAAGGAGAAGGGATGGCGGATGGGGAGGGGGGGGCGAATGCCTCTGCAGTGCGCTGGTTTGGCCCGCGTGCGGCGAGGGGAATCTGTGCGGCAGGCCGCCGACTCTCTTCGCAAGAGCGCCCTCCGCAAGGGCCTGTACCCTCGCGCGCGCATCCCGGCAGCATGCCGCGGACTGGCCCGCCGCGGTCCTTCGGGGAGCCCGCGAGGAGGAGGCAGCGACCCCGACGACGAGCCAGGCCCATCTCGAGGCGCCGACCTGGACCCCGCGGAGGTGGCGGCGAGCCTCGGCAGCGTGTCGGCCAGCCTGCAGGAGCAGATCTCGGCCATCTCGGAGGAGATGGACCGGATGCGCTCGGAGCTGTACGGCGAGGCCGGCCTCGGCGGCATCGCGGCGGAGCTCGAGAGGCTGAAGGCGGGCCTCGCTCCCGTGCGCTCCTTTCCTCGGGTGCAGGCCCCCAGTCGCTCCCATTCTCCCTCTCCTCGCGCCTGCCCGCAGGGCAGCTCCCGCTCGCGCAGGTACGTGATCTTCTCTGGCTTCTCTCGCTTGACGCAACGTTGCAATGTTGTATGGTTCGCGCGGCCCTTCTGCCTGCACCGTCGATGGTTCAGTATCTATGTGTCCCTGCCGCCCCTCCATTTCCTCCAGCTTCCGTTTCACCCCATTCCACCTTCCCTTCTTCTCGATATTTCCCATTGTCCTCCCCAGCTCCTCTCTCCCCTCTGCTCTCCTTCCTGTCCTCCTCTCCTGTCCTCGCATCCCCCTCTCACTCTCCCCACACAGGTTCTCCGCTCCTCCCCTCTCCTACCTGTTCGCCTCCCCTATACCACGTATCCCTCTCTTCTCTGGACTTCCTCGCTGATCTTCGCTGACCTGTTCGGTGAGATTCGATGGCAGAGGCAAGGGGGGAATTGGGTGACGTTGAGCCCGCAGGGGGACACAGAGGCCGCACTGGGCCCAGCCCGTCGCCAGGCTGGCTTGCGGGGGCCCGACCCCGCCCTGGCGCGGTGGTGGCTCGTTCTCACCGGCAAGGGCTCGGGCCTCGTGCGACATGGCAGGCCCCAGCCAGGCGCGTGCTGCTTCAAAATATTTCCCAACCTTTTCGAGGCAAGGTCATAAACTCGTTGAACGCATCAGTGTAGCGCGCACGCAGCCCAAAATATCTAAGGGCATCACAGAAGTGTTATGGCCTCAAACTGCCTTGCGTTAGACACGCAAGGTCCCTCCAAGAAGTTGCCCACGTAACCGAAGTTACGTGTAACTATTTAGCAGGTCGAGCTGGCCACCTGACGCCCCCTTCAGGGGCCAATTCCCGAATTGCGCGACGCCTGGACGTCCCTGACAATCGCAGCGTGGTCCTGCAGGCCCGAAGGCGTATTCGATTGGGGCTCGGGTTGTCGTTGATGTACCGCGGAAGCGACCAGGTGCTTCCCGAGTGCCCGACTTCCAGTCGCCGACGATTCGCCGGATCAAGGGGAGGCCTTGGATGGCAGATGCTCAATCAGTAGCTGGATGCTGTGTCGTTTTGATAGGACCACGCGCGCGAATAGCAAAAGGAATGCCATGTTGAACGCGCAGCAGTACCCGGGACAGTGAAACGTGCTCATGGATGGCTCCTTGCCTGCTGCACACGTGTGGTCGGGAGTTTCGGGGCCACCTCCCTAGACCCGTAACGTCATAATTTTGTTCAGGATGTGAACCCCCCGAGATCTGGACCCCCTCCCCAGGACCAGTTTCCCAACACGCGCCCCCAGAGGCCGAATTTTGCCAAAGAAAAATCAGACACTCTCTTTCTCCCAAAAGTGCTTGCCTTAAGAGGTTCTGCAATGTTCTATAACGACCTGGCTGGTGCACCGCTCTGGCGGCTATGTGACCGCCGTCGCCGCCCCGTCGCCGCCTTGTTGCCGCCTGTCGTGTGGACTGGTGTGCCGCTCTGGCGGCTCTGTGGCCGCCGTCGCCGCCCCGTCGCCGTGTCGTCGCCACCCGTCGTTTGGGCCTGTCTGTCGGTCTGGCGGTTGTGTGACCGCCGTCGCCGCCCCGTCGCCGCCCTTTCGCAGCCCAAGCTCCTCCTTTCTATAAAAAAAGGTTCTACCACCCTCCGCCCCCAGGGGTGAAAGATTCTTCAGGAACCGATGCAAACCACGTAGGATTCTGCCCCATCGTCCATCCTAAATGTGTATTTGCACTATCCCAGGGGGGCCGCCATGGCCACCCCCCCCGCCATCAGTTGCAAGACGTAGTATGCGCGCGAATTCGTTTATCAAAATTCGTAAGTTTCCAAGAATTCCTTGAAGCAAATGAGACGAAGTGCACGCGCGCGTCGTCGCGCGCGCGCATGCCGAAATCATTCAAACACTGTTTTGGTGTCGGAAGGATTGCAACATCGAATTGCCAAAACACGTATAAAACAAAGGGTTTCGCTACACTGGTTTTCTGAAAAAGCTTACACGCGCGCTCTTGCGAAATCTCAAGAGCAAAAGCAGCTTGTTAATTTTAAAAAGAGAAAGGTTTGTTTCAAGCGTACTACCAAACGTGCTTCGCGCGCGCATGTCGACATCGTTCGAACGCCCTTGCGCGCGTGCCGTCGCTAGAATCCTATGCAAACAAATGGGATGAAGTGTGCGCGCGCGCGCCTCGTCGCGCGCGCATGCCGAAAAATTTGAAGAACCTTTGGTTTCGGAAGGATTTCCAACATTTAGTGTTTAAAACAAACAAGAACACAGGGTGCCGCAACCCGGATTTTCAACGAAAGCGCGAGCACGCGCTATTGCGTCGTCGTCGTAGTCGCCGTCCTCCCTCCTCCCTTGTCGTCGTCGGCGTCGCCGTCGTCGTCCTCTGTCTTTCCTCGTCGTCGTCGTCGTCGTCCTCTTTGGCGTCGTCGTCGTTTCCGTCGTCGTTGTCGCCGTGGTCGTCCTTCCTCATCCCTCGTCGTCGTCGTCGGCCGTCGTCGGCGTCTCGTGATCGTCCCTCCTATTTCGTCGCCGTCGTCGTCGCTGTTGTCGACGTCGTCGTCTTTCCTCCTCCCTCGTCGGTGTCGTCGTCGGCGTCGCCGTCCTCCCTCCTTCTTCGTCGTTCGCGTCGTCGCCGCTTCCCTCCTCCTTCGTCGTTGTCGTCGTTGCCGCCGTCGTCGTCCTCCCTTCTCCCTCCTCGTCGTCGTCGTCGTCGTCTTCGGCATCGTTGTCGTCGTCGTCGTCGGCGTCGTCGTCGTCGTCATCGTCGTCCTCGTCGTCGGCGTCGTCGTCGTCGTCGCCGTCGGCGTCGTCGTCTTCGTCGTCGTTGTCTTCGGCGTCGGCGTCGTCGTTGTCGTTGTTGTCGGCGTCGCCGTCGTCGTCGTCGTTGTCGTCGTCGTCGAAGTCGCAGGCGTCGTCGGTGTCGTCGTAGTCGTCGTCGGTGTCGTCGTCGTCGTTGTCGCTGTCGTCGTCGGTGTCGCTGTCGTTGCCAAGTGCCATGTGGTACTCATCGTCACGGTCTTGAGAAGTCTTGCGACCAAGCTGCGGGTGGGAGACTTGGATGTTTGGTGCGAGCAGCGGGGAGGACAGCTTCAATATGGTCAAAGTGAAATGCACAACATAGCTTGCACCGCTCAGATTGCACCACACGGATTGCACCGCACATATTCTCCTTTCTCAAAGAATACTCGATTCTACCCTCCCCCTGGAATTGACGATCCACCTTTCCGTGTTGCAATTAACGTATTGTTTCGCCCCATCGTCCATCCGAAATTTGAGTTCAGACCATCCCAGCCCAGCCGGTATCGACATCCCCCGCCATCATCTGCAACAAATGCTAAGCGCGCGCTCACGTTTATAAGAAATCAGCAGTTTTCAATAATCCAGTGCGCTCGCCGCGTTGTGCGCTATATCACGTTTATAAGGAATCAGCAGTTTATAATAATCAGCAGTTATCACGTTTATAGGACGAAGTGCGCTCGCGCGCGTCGTCGCGCGCGCAGGCCGGACTCTTCGGGAAGCCCCCGGTTTCGCAAGGGCTTCAAAACCGAGGGGTACGAAAACAGATTCAAACACATGGCTGTGCAACAGGATTCTTCAAAGCAGCAGAAACAATCGCGTCCGCGCTCATGCGAATTCTTAGGACAAAACCATCGCATGTTCAGGACATGTTATGAAATGTGCCTCTCGCGTGCGCGTGTCGCAATCGTTCGAGCGCCCTTGCGCATGCGCCTGTCGCAAGAATCCTTTGCACAAAAATGCGACGAAGTGCACACGCGCGCGTCGTCGTGCGCGCATGCCGAAATCCTTGAATAACGTTCGGGTTCGGAATGATTCCCAAATCGACTGCCCAAACAACATACAAGAACACGGGGTTTCGCAACACGGAATTATAACAGAAACGTGCGCGCGTTCTTGCGTCGGTGTCGTCGTCGTCGCGTCGTCGCGCGCGCATGTCGAAATCCTTGAATCACCTTCGGTTTTACACGGTTTCAAACTTGAGTGCCCCGAAAAAATATTCAGGACGCGCGGCTTTGCAAATTCAGTGTTCAAAAAAGTCTTGCATTCGCGCTCATGCGTATTGTTACGAGAATCATCGGCTTTCCAACATGTTCATCTCATTCTGCCAAACGGGCCTGCCGCGCCGCATGTCGAACTCATTCGAACGCTGTTGCGCGCGTGCTGGGGCGGGCACGACCCGTGTCAAATAATACCACGTTGTTGCACGCGTGCTGGGGCGGCCTGCCGCGCGCGCGTGTCAAACTCCAGCAAAAACCTTTTCATCGCCGACGCGAGGACATCGTCATCGTCATCGGCGGGCCTAATCAGCATCGGCACAGTCATTGGCCTTGCCGTCGTCATCGCCATTTCGTCACCAACGCTGCTCTCATCATCGCGTCTACCGTTGTCGGTGTCGCCATGATACCGCGCCCGCCCACGGCACCGACCCGCACTGAAGTGCCCGCTGGGCCCAGCGGTCAGCGCCACCGCAGCCGCGTCTGTCGCGCCGCACCAGCTGGCCGCTGCGCGCGCGAGCATGCGCGGGCTGGCGCGGCCGCAAGCAAACCCCAGCCAACGCCAAGCACTCATCGCAATCGCCGCCGCATGGGTTTTGCAAACCCAGTTGCGGGTGGGTTGGTGGGATATCTGCAAAGTCATGGCATGTCGTTTGTAAAATTGAATTAGATCGGTTCTACCCCCCAGGGGTTCGATATTCACTTTTCCGTATTTCAATTTACATATGATTCTGCCCCATCGTCCATCCCACATTTGAATTTACTTGACCCCACGGAGCCTGTCTCGCCCCCCCCCCGCCATCCTCCGCCCCAAAAATATGCGCGCGCAAGCGTTTATCAAAACTCACAAGTGTTCAATAATCCCTTGCAACAGATGGGACGAAGTGCGCGCGCGCGTGGTCGCGCGCGCATGCCGGAATCCTTCAAAATTTTCGGTTCAAGGAGGATTTCAATATCGAGCGTTTTTTCTTATATGTTCAACGTAATAAAAGTTTCGCGACACGGATTTCACCAAAAGCGTGCGCACGGTCTGGCGAATTCTTAAGAATACCATGTGGATTCAACATGTTCCACACAATCCTGCCAAACCTGCCTCTCGCGACGCATGCCGAGATCAGTCGAACGTTTTTGCTCGCGTGCTGGGGGGGCACGATCCGTGTCAAATAATGCAACGCGGCCGATTTCGCGCGTCGGCCGCGCACGCATGTCGAACTCCTTTCAAAACCTTCTTACTACAACGCCGTCATCGTCGCCGGCGTGATCACCATCGGCGCCGTCACTGGCCGCGCCGTCGTCGCTGTCAACGTCTTCAAGAATATCGCTACGATCATCATCGTGTCAGCCGTTCTTGTCGTTGCCATGATACGGCGCCCCCCCAAGTCGCCGACTCGTTGTGAAGTGCCCGCTGGGATGTGCCCACTGGTCAGCTCCACCGCGGCCGCGTCGGTTGCGCCAAACTAGGCGGCCGCTGCGCGCGCGTGCATGCGCGGGCTGGCGCGGCCGCAAAAACGCACCAGCAAACGCCAAGCAGTCATCGCAATCGCCGCCGCATGGGTTTTGCAAACCATGTTGCGGGTGGGTGGGTGGGTGGGATGCTTGCGCGAGCAGTGGAGTGGACAACTCACTGCGAACAAAAATTACTTACACCACATAGATTGCACCAGTCCGGCTGCATCGAATTTCCTGCACAACATATTTTCAACCTCGTAGATTGCACTCTATGGGTTGCACAACGTACGTTGCATCAAACAGAGTGCGCAGCATATCTTGGGCCACGTTGATTCTCCGTGTTCGAAATAACATCAGGATCTACACCCCCCACAGATTTTAAGGGTCATCTTTTCGTAATGCAACGTGCGTGTGTGTGTTGCCGCATCGTCCACCCCTAATATCAAACCACCCCCGGCAGACGCATATCGCCCCCCCCCTCTTCCCCTCACCCTCTGCAGCACATTTGCTTTGCACGCGCATTCGTTTGTCAAAACCAGCAAATTCCAAGACACTTTTGCAAAAGACGGGGCGCCATGCGCACGCGCGCGCCGCCGCGCGCGCATGCCGAAACCCTTCGAATACCCTTTTGGTTGCTGTAGGGCTTCAAAAGCCGAGCGCCGCGAACACATATCATCAACAAAGGCTTGGCAACCTGAATTGTCCATTGAACGCCCGCTCGCGCTCTTGCCGTTTCTAAAATGTACCATAAGATCTAAAGCTGTTCGCTACATGCTGACAAGCGTGTCCCTCGCGCGCACATGTCGGAATCGTTCGAATGCCGTTGCGCGCGCGATGTCGCAATAGTGTATTTTAGAACAGCATGGCACGCGAACGTCGTCGCGCGTTCATGTCGAACTTCTTCAACAACATTGAGTACTGTAAGGATCTCAACACCGGGCGCCATGAACACATATAAGCACACATGTTGTTACAACATCCGTTGTCGGAAATGTTTGCGCGCGCGTTCCTGCATATTCTTTTGGTAACCATGGGTTCATCCATATTTTAATCACTTTCGACCAAGCGGCCTCGCGCGCCGCATGCCGAAATCATTCGAACGCTCTTGCGCGCGTGCTGGTGGGCACGGTCCTTGTTAAATAATCTCACGCGGGTCACTCGCCCGCGTCGGCCGCGCGCATGTCGAAATTCAAAAAACTTCATCACTGACGCGAAGGCATCTTCATCGTCATAGGCGGGCGTAATCAGCATCGGCACCGTCATTGTCATTGTCGTCGTCATCGCCACCTTTGACCACCATCTCCGCTACTATCATCATCGTGTCTACCGTTGTCGCATTCGCCATGTTACGGCGCCCGTCCAAATCGCCGACCTCCTTTGAAGTGCCCGCTGGGAAGTGCCCAGCGCTGAGCGCCACCGCGGCCGCGTCGGTCGCACCATTCTGGCTGGCGCTGTGCGCGAAATCATGTGCGGGCTAACGCGGCCGCAGAGATGCGCCAGCCAACACTAAAGCACTCATCGCAATCGCCGCCGCACTGGTTTTGCAAACCAAGTTTCGGGCGAGGGGGGGGATGATTTCGCGAGCAGCGGAGTTGACAGTTGCGAGTTCCACACGTGAGTTGCACCGCGTAGATTGCTGGAACCACGCTGGGGTCCACGCTGGCCACCATTTCAACAAAAACTCTAAGGGGTCTGGGAACGCACTTCTTAGCCGTTCAGAAGCTTGTCCCGCCTTGCCTCTGTGCCTGTGACCCCGTTCCGGTCCGCACCCTCGTGCACAGAGGCCGCGGGCATGGGCGACCTGATGGGCGGAGTCGGCGACGGGGGTGCCGATGCGAGGCACGGCGCCAGCTCACAGGCTCGCCCATAGGGGCCTCGGGGATGAGTCCAACGCTGTCCTCCTGTCTCTTAGAGGTTGACGGGGTACCGATACCGCCACACCTGCCTCGTGTTCGCCTACAGTGGCCTCCTTGGAGGCCTTCCTGGGAGGCCTACGTCGCCACAGCCGGATTCGTTTGGAAATTCCTGGGAGAGGTCTGGTTTTCACTTTAGGTTTCGCATCCTCGTTCCTCTCCGTCCTGATCTCCTCTTCTCCTGTTCTCGGTCCAGACCCGCTGTGCTCGGAGGGACATATCCGCGTAGACATGAACGTTCGGAGCCGCGCGCGGATTTTTTGGACCGGCGCGGGGTCCCCTCTGGCGGGCCCTTGGCGCGCTCCGCGCGCCAGGGAGATGGAGGTCCAGCGCTGATCCAAGAAGTCCGTGTGGACCTCCAAGAACGCCTTGCGACATGTTTATGCCACATGTTCTTTTTCCTCTATCGGTCCTACCCGTCCCGATCTCCTCTTCTCGTTCTCTCCGTTCCTGACCTGCTACACGCACCCAGTCCTTTTTGTTCCCTTTCCCTCTGTTCCCCCTGCCCCCATTGCCTTCTCCACATGAGTATGTGACGCGCGCACTGTCCCAGCTTCCGACACGTTTTGCCCGAAGAGTCTTCAGAGGGTCCAGGAGGGTGCGTGCAGGTATTGGGGGTCTCGGATAATCAGCCGCGAGGTCTTCGCGTAATTGACCGCCCATCGATTTCCCAGCGGGGAAGCGCGGTGCGGCGATCCGCCGGGAGCGCGGCGATCCGCCCCGCAACACACATGCCCAGATATTGCGAAGGCCTTGCGGCTGGTGCCGCCGACCCTGAAGGGAGACGACAATTACAACGGAGGCGGCGGCGACGACGACGCTGACGTTGGCCAGAGGCATGTTCTTGGAGTCTCTTCGGCAGGCTCTAGGAGCCTCTTGAGGACCTCTTGGTGGCCTCTTGGGGCCTTCTTTCGGGCTTCCTGGACCTCTTGTGGGCTTCTTGGGGCCTAGTGGGAACTCCAGATGTTTTGCACTTGCGACGCGAAGGTTGCCCGGGGCTCCAGGTTGCTGAGCGCGGGGAATCGCGGGAACTTCTCAGGACGAATTTTCGACACTTCGCGGAGGCCGCCTTCGCGGGGGCCCATCGTTCCCGCAGCCTGCACGCGGCCAAAGAGGTATCCGACATCCGCGATAATGTTCCTGCAAGTCAGCATAGGCAAGACAGGCCCACGCGAGCTCGCAGTATTTTTCGAGGCGATCAGTTTGTCCGCGGACCGGCGGGCGTATACAATAACCACCAGAAACAAAAACGCGATACACACCAGTATGTCCACACACAGACCAATCTACCCATTCACCAAGAATGCAATCTGGCATCTGATTCCGGGAAGCAGCGTCTACACCGATCAAGCCCGGAGCATCAAGCGTTGGCTTTACATTGTAGAGACGATAGCCCACGACGAGCCCTGCGTCGCCACTCCAGTGTCTGCGACGAGAGCCTGGCGGGCACTTTTGCACAAGGCTGGGCATTGCCGACGACAAGGATGCGGCATCGGCAAATCTTTCGGGATCATCAACTGGCCCCACCTCGCACATGCATATGTGAGGGCGATACGTGGGGGAGGCGGACAGCAGGTGCACCTCTTGGGCCCTCAAGGGGCCCCTGGGGCCCCGAAAGGCCACGAAGTGTGCACGCTCCCCCCCCCTCCTCCTCATCCTAGCTGCTCGAGGAAACCTCTGCACCAGCGCAGCTTCCACTCTCTACCGTACCTTCATCCCCTCCCTGGCGCACCACCCGCCAAGATCAGGCCGCCTGGTGGACGCGGGCCTGTGGCGCGACGTGCGCCCGCTAGGCCAACGGATGGCGGCGGCGGCGCCGCGGCTCGCGGCGCTGCGCATAGTGCTGTACAACCCTCTCTCGGCCCTGGAACCTCAGAGGCTGGTCGATATATGGAGAACTGTTCGAGCCGACCTCGTCCTCCTCCCAGGGACTCGGATGAAAGCTCAACCTGGCCACGCAGTTACACGGCTGCCGTTGGGAGGTGGGGCGTTCGCCTTGAATGCGGGCTGGAGAGCAGGACCATTCTCGAATAGTTCTGCGGGCTGTACGATCTTGGTGGGGAACCTGTTCAGGGCCAAACATGTCAGGACCATCGACACTCCCCCAGAGGTAGCCCAAGGTAGAGGACTAGCGGTTCGGCTTCGTAATCGTAGTATCGACTTGAGCGTGGTGTTGCTATACGTTCCCCCCATCGGAGACGCCTCGGCGAAGAAGTGTAAGGCTCTGGAGAAGGGGTCCACCCAAGTGATCCGATGGGGAATCCAGCAGGTCCAGAAAGCGCCCAACAGATCTACTCCGATCTTAGCAGGGGGGTTCAATACACAGATGGGCCTCCGCGGGGGCTCGCGCACTTTTTCGCCTTCGGCGTCGGCGTCTTGGTGGGAACAGGAGCGGCCCCTGGCGGGCCCTTACAACACGGGGGAGCAGAACGTGATCGGCAATCTGATCCAGGATGAGTTGCTGGCCCCTCTGGAGACGTTTGACGCTGTTACCGCTGATCGAAGGGGGGGCCCTACATACTATTCGCACAGTGGCCACACGTCCACCATCGACCACATCTTCATACCCCAGGGGTTCAGAGATCAAGTGTCGGCTTGTAAGGTCCTGTGGAACCCAGCGAAGCGCCTCCAGTTGATCCCGTCCCAGCACCCTAGAGACCACGTCCCGATCTTGTTGCAGATGACCATTTCGAAACAGTACGAGCCCTCATCGGCCAGGGACGAGCGGCGGGATCGCCGCAAGCTCGCGGCCGCGGCCCAGCGCGGCGCGGCGAGGCCGGAGTTCCTGGGCGACTTAGAGACGGCCATGCAGGAGCACGCGCCTGAGATGCAACGACGCCTACAAAGGGGCGCGCTTGACCGAGCATGGCAGGGGTGGTTGGAAATAGTTCGTAGGACGGGACTTGCCCACTTCGCGCAGAAGCCAAAGGAGCTCGACCCAGCAGTTTCGGCACTCAGGGCTCGGCGACTGAAACTTGTTCGAGCACGGAGTGAACGTCGAGTCGGACTACGCGGTGCGGGCGAAGAACAGGGGATTCGACGTTGGACTGCACGGCAACACACTACTACATCTTCGGATCATATCAATCGATCACGTGAGATTGACACACACATAGTGACGGCTAATGGGAACGATGCGAGTGCTGCAGAGTTGCCGACTACCCACGCGGGCTGGATAGCTGCAGGGGAGAATGCGGGGACTGCAACTTCACCTAAGACCTCAGTGAGCTACGACCAGGGCAGCGCAGGATCACAGATGCCAATGAGGAGTGTTTCGCCTATGAGAGTTTCGTTGGGTGATTTGGGAGCCAGGGCTGATGCGATTAAAGATGAGCTGCGAGTGATCAAAAAGACACTTCGCCAAGAGAGTCGACAAGCTCGGCACGATTCACGACGCAGATTGGAAGCAGAGATTGCAGATGCACATAATCAACATAAACACGCTGATGTAGATCGATTGATATTTCTACTCGCAGCGCAGCACGTTGGACCTCGGAAGCGAAAGTATAACTTACCTTCGACATTTGATAGCAAAACTGAATGGCAGACGCAGTTGAGTCTACCTGCAGTGGGCGGTGGGATGGACGCAGTGGATTTCGACGTTGACAGAATGATCAGCTCGTTTAGCACGCAAGTGCCAGCAGTGTCGACGGACGAGGATGAGCTCGAGCGGACCGACCTCCAAGGGCGACGGGACTTTCAGGCGACATTGCGACGCCTTCGACGAAGTGCCAAACGGCGAGCCGCCCCTCCGTGGAGCTTCCCGCTGGAATTGCACTTGATGGCCGCCGACCCCAAGTATCTCTCAGTGGGACCTCAAGAGTACTTAGGACATGGAGCTACCCCAATCTCCCAGACGGACTCCACGACCTCAGCCCGACTCCTCGAAGATCTTCATATTTTATGTAGGCGCCTGAAGCGTACACCCATCCTTGGGAACTTGGCCTGGGGGGTCTCGATTGCGAAGCACAGCGGGAAGGTGGGGGCGCTGGGAAAACGTCTGATTAATGTGATGCGTCCATGCTGGAAATGTTTCTACGGGGGGCTGCTGAAGCACAACGTATACAAAAAAGGGGTCAATTGGCCGGCTGAGTTTCACGGTTTTCTTCCCCGACGTCGGAGGGAGGACGCGATCGCAGTCCAGCTGTGCATGGGCCATTTCTATCGCACCTATCGTATTGCACACCTGAGCCACTTGCATGATGTGTCGAATGCCTTTGCCTCCAACACGGCGCGAGCGAGGACCGAGGCGATCAATGAGCTCTTCACCCCGTCCGACGCAGCGTTGATGCATTCAAGATCTCAGACTTCAGGGATTGCGATGATCTTCGAGACAGGGGGCACCCAGCCTTGGCAGGACCCCAGAAACCTAGCTGTTCGACACCGACGAGGGGGACTTATGGGGTCTAGTGAGGAGCCCGTGGTGTTCGCGAAGGTAATGAAGAGCCCAATGAGATCGTGGTTCGACGCACGTTCGGTGAATGAGACGGCCACGCACCTGCGGTGCGGTATATATAACTCTCTTTGCTGTGGGGCGACGACGGTGTACGCCGGCGATATATCCGATAAGATGCCGATCGATGATACGACGCAGACTAAGATTGATGAGAAACTGAAACACAGCGACGACGTGCTCGACGGGGTATTGGGGGCTAAAGGTTTTTTTTTTTTTTTTTTTTCAGAATTATAGTAAGCGAGAAACCGTTCCCTGTCTTCGTAGTCATCAAGCGAACCGAGACTTCTCGGCCGAGTTTAGGATGGGTAAGGCACGGGCTAGAGCTAGATATCTGGGTTGCCGTCACGCCTGGAACTTATCGAGTATGGAAGAGTTTCCCTATCGTTGCGCTGCTGTCCACGCTGGGTGGGGGAAGCTAGGTAAGTTCTGGACCAGCCGCACAAGTAAATCTCTGAATATCCTGGCCTTCAGGGGCCACGTGGTGGAAGCCGCCCTATCCGCGAACGAACCTTTCGTGTTTCCGAGGGCCCAGGCCCAGCAGTTGGACGGGATTTTAGCTAAGTGCCTCCGAGTCTTGGAGCGTGGCAAAGCTACGGACTGGTCATGCGAGCATCCGCACGCGTCATTGAATTCGACGCTTAGGCAGAGGCGGCGCCTGATACCGATCCGCTTCGAGCAGGCGGCCAGGCGCTTTGGATGGGCGCAGCAGATGGCCAAGGACGCCCTCGCGCACCAGCAGGTGATCGCCTGGATCTGGGGGCATCTTGAAAACAGACCTCCCTCTCTCGATGATGACGGGCACCTCCGTACTTGCGCACCCCCGCTGGCTTTCCAGATAGAGCGGGACTTCTGGGCGCTTGCTGGTATTAGCGGTACCGAGGATTTCTGCGAGGCCTGGGAGCGGTGGGATTTCTCTTGGAAGGCTTTATTCTTGGAAGAAGAAGTTCGGGAGGTGTGGCTGAAAGTTGATCCCAAGATCCTGAAGGCCTCACTTTTGAAGGAGGGGGAAGCACTATTTCGGAGCCGTCTTAGGGGCCCCGCGAGGGCCTTCGAACAGGAGGGGGACAATGAGGAGCCCACGACCTAAATCTGTAACCTGAGGGACTCACAGGGGAACATGTGCCTACAGGAGTTTGAGTCACGAGGAGGCCTACTAGCTCATCAATCCAGATCTGCGGGAGGCGAACACGGTAAGTTGAACCCTCCCTACTCGGCCGTCTTGACAAATGTGTGTCCCTGGTGTCGTACCTCGTTCTCGTCTAAAGATAGTGCTCGTCAACACGTTCGCACCGCATGGTTGACCAACAGATGTAGACTTAATCGCACCGCGTTTGATTGGGACCAAAATTGTGCCTAAGTCCCTGCAGTGTCCATTGTGTGAGTATGACTTCGATACACCCGCTGAGTGCCATGATCACGCTGTGGAATGTCACCTCCCTCCACCTCCCCTTGTGGTTCAGCCTCGCGAGCGTAGGGAGCGGCGTACCGAACGAGCGGGCGTGCTTAGTCATGGCGCTGGTTTTGCCGAGCGGCACCGACAACAGCAAGAAGGAGCCCGAGTTTCAGCGAGCGGTCAGGCGCCGCGACGAGGGGAACGGTGGCCAGACCGCCCAGAAGACCACCGCAGGCATCAACGGCCACAGCAAAGGACTGCACGTGCTGACGATGAAAATGCTGCTCTCGCTCGCCCAGAGCCGTCGGAACATCGAGGGAGTTTTGTTCGACGTGCTAATCGTCCCAGCCGAGCTCCCCGAGGCGTTGAAGATGCAGGAGCAGGGCTCGGCCTACAACGCCCAGGTCCAGGCCAAGGGCAAGGGCCACGGGCTCGGGGCGCCCCGCCTGTTCGTGTTCGGGGGCCTGCTGGAGGCGCTGCTGCTGCGCCAACAGAGCATTGGCAAAGTGAACTTCGAGAAGCTGACCGAGTTCAAGGCTCGGCTCCAGTCGCTCGATTACGAAGAAAAGATGGACATCATCCGCTTCGCCAAGGTAGACCGCTGCTACGACCAGGGCAAGCGCAGGATCACGCTGTGCCTTCAGGAGGGCCGCAAGGAGGTGATCGGCGCCCTCCAGCAGCTGGGCGCGGAGTTGAAATCGGGCAGGGCGCCAGCGAGCCACATGGAGCGCGAGCTGCAGGAGTGGCTGGAGGTGTTCCTGCAGTAGCCGAGACTGCACGACGGACTACTACACTTTCGGATCATCTTGAATCGATTACGCCTGAGATTGACATACATCAGTGACGGCTGATGGGGATTCGTGGATGGCCGATACACATACGGGAAGATCTTCGTCTGCTGAGCCGGCCCACAGTCCCCGACCGACTGTGCAGTACTGCCAGCCGCAGGCAGCGCATTTGGACGCAGAGAGGAGCCCGACGAGGAGGAGGAGTTCACCTCTGAGAGTGTCGTCAGAGAAGATCGTCGCCCCCCTGGAAGGCCACGATCAGGGCCGCTCAGGATCACAGATGCCAATGAGAACGGCGTCGCCTTGGAGGGTTTCTTCGGGGTCCACGGGATCACAGATGCCAGTGAGGAAGGTTTCGCCTCTGGGGAGTTCTCCTGGGTCGACGGGAGCACAGATGCCAATGAGGAGGGTTTCGCCTTTGAGAGTTTCTTCGGGGTCCACGGGATCACGGATGCCAATGAGGACGGTTTCTTTGGGGACGACGGGATCACAGATGCCAATGAGGAGGGGTTCGCCCTTGAGGGCTTCTCCTGGGGCGACGGGATCACAGATGCCAATGAGGAGGGTTTCGCCTTTAGGGGCTCCTCCAGGTTCGACGGGATCACAGATGCCAATGAGGAGTGTCTCGACCCCACCTTTTTTGGAAAATGACCCGAGGCGCCCCGATTTCAGAGAGTACTGAGGCCCGTGGGTATTTGATGAGACACGGAGGAGATGCACCAGAGGGGGGACTTGAGGTAGCACGATATCTGAGTGCGTTAGGCGTAGAGGAAGGCACCGCACGATGGCAAGCGCTGAATAGGAGCAGGCACGTCCTAGCAATGGTACGTAGAGGGTAGTTGTGCAGAGGAGTCCGCTGGCCTAGATTCGGGTAGCTCGGGCTCGGGTGTAGTGCCTCGGGCAGTGCACCAGATTTCGGTGTAGCTTGGGGCCAGCGTCCCCCGGCGTTTTGGATCCTCCGCTTGAGGATAGCCTCTGGGCCTTTGAATGTCTAGCTGATGTACGAACTTGGCCCCCACGGAGTGTTTCTTTCTTTTCTTTTTCTTCCTCCTCATCCTCCTTCTCCTCCTTCTCCTCCTCCTCCTCCTCCTCCTCCTTTTCCTCCTCCCCCCTCCTCTTCCTCCTCCTCCTCCTCCTCCTCCTCCCCCTCCTCCTCCTCCTCCTCCTCCTCCTCCTCCTCCTCCTCCTCCTCCTCCTCCCCCTCCTTCTTCTCCTCCTGCTCCTCCTCCTCCTCCACCTCCTCCTCCTCCAGGCCGTCGCCCTCCCGTGAAGCCACGCTTGATCGCCCCGCCCCCTCTGGGAGCCGCCGCCAGGCGCGGGGCGGCTCTGCGCTGCGGCAGAGGCTCCCGGGAATCGAACGAGGAGGAGGAGGAGGAGGAGGAGGAGGAGGAGGAGGAGGAAGAGGAGGAGGGGGAGGAGGAGGGGGAGGAGGAAGAGGAGGAGGAGGAGGAGGAGGAGCTGCGGCCGCCACCCCCCCCCAGACCCCCTGGCGAGGAGGGCGGGAACGACGAGGGCGCAGGTCGGGGCAACGACAAGCGCGAAAGTCAGCGCGGCGGGGCGAGGAGGGTGAGCACCAAGTGGACAGGGCGAGGGCGACGAGGACGAGGACGAGGGTCGGACCACTGTTCCTGTTTACCCTTTGGGGCAGAGCATGGCTCCCCGAGGGCAGAGGGCCCCAGAGGAGCAGCAGAGGAGCCGCAGAGGAGCAGCAGAGGAGCAGCAGAGGGACCCCGAGATGCCCCCGGGCGGCTCGTCGTGGCAGTGAGACGCAGCACCTCACCTCGGCGGCCGCAGCAGGGGCGGATAGCCCTGGCGGGGGGGGGGGCATTACAGTCAAAACTCATACAGGCAAGAAGCCTCCTCTCAAAAAGCTGGGCCAGCGCATCTTAGCCAACCTGCCAGACAGCTGGCCCAGTTTCTTGAGCACGTCTGCCCCTCCAGCGTCAGCAGCATGATACTTCCCAGGCTTGTTTCAAGAAGCTGTTGGGGAGCTGGCCCAGGCTTCTTCAGCGCCTGACAGTTCAGGACGCACGGATGTGCTCAGGGTACCCTCTGCGTCTCTGCTTCTGCGGACTGCTCCTCGCCGTTCTCATTGGCGCCAGCCCTTCGGGGCGCTGGCAGCCTGCCGCCAAAAGCGTGCCGTTTTCGGCCTCCAGGGCCCCTGCGTCCTTGCGGCTCCTCCTTTCTTTTGACTGTGCATGTAACCGGTCGGGAGCTTTGGCTTGGCCTGTCGCGCCGCTGGTTCTGGCCTGCCACGCGTAGGCGCGACAAGCCAGCCACTCCCCAGCAGTACTCGAGTGGGCGACGAACAAAACACGCGTCCAGCTGCACCGACATTGGCGCGGAAGCTCCCCGCGCAGGGTCGCGCGTCGGCGCGCTCGCCTCCAGTGTGGCGTGCAGCACCAGCGGCCCGCGCGAGCCACCGCGTGAGGTCGCCGTGCCGTCTCGCGCGAGACCCGCTGTGGATCGTCGCCCGGGCGTCGACGTCCCGAGCGCTCCCCCGGGCTCCCGCCCCGCGGGGCGCGCCACGCCGTCCGCTCGCAGGGCGCAGCGCGTCGCCGGGGCCCGCCCCACGCGCGACATGCCGAGCAGCGGTCTCCGAGCGCAGCCGAAGGGGCTCCCACCGCCCGCGTCTTCGACGAGGCTCCCCCGGCGACTGCGCGCGACGCCCGCCCCGGGGCCACCCGCCCCTCTTGCCCGACCCCCGGGGTGCAACTCCCGGGAGGTACCAGGTTAGGGTACAGTCTGTCTCGGCGCAATTCTTTTCGCGGTCGATGCCCGGCTTAATCTTGGTTTGTCCAGTCTTGATCCCGCTCAATCCGGGTTAATCTTGGGCTTAATCTGGCCTCACCCGGTGAAGTGGCCTTCAATCGCCCTTAGTCGTCCCAGTCCTGCACCCCCCAGCTTGCTTCCTTCCGCTCAGGCACGGGCAGTGCCAAGGTTACATATTCGAATCAGCAGGGCTCGCGGCGGTCAGGAATATCTACAGAATCGCGCCTCGGGGGCCCAATCTGGAGTTACCCTGGACCGCAGTTATCCCGGATAATTCGGACGTCCAACTTTTTCGAATCATCAGGGCTGGGGGCAGTCAGGGAATGCTGCAGATTCGCGCATCGGGGGCCCAGATCGGACATACCCTGGACCGCAGTTATCCCGGATATCTCGGGCGTCCAACCCTCCCGAATCATCAGGGCCTGGAGGCAGTCAGGGGTAGCTACAGATTCGCGCCTCGCGTGGGCCAAAACCGGAGTTAGACCAGATCGCAATTCACCCGGATAACTCGGGCGTCCACAAGGGGGGAGTCACCTCTATGGGGGGGTCACCAGCTCCTCTTGGAAATTGGATATTGAGGCTTCGGGATATAAGCCTGCGGAGGAGGAGGAGGCGGAGGAGGAGGAGAAAGAGGAGGAGGAGAGAGGAGGAGGAGGTGGAGGAGGTGGAGTAGGTGGAGGAGGAGGAGGAGCAGGAGGAGGAAGAGGAGGAGGGAGCGAGGAGGGAGGAGGAGGAGGAGGAGGAGGAGGAGGAGGAGGACGAGGAGGAGGAGGAGGCGAAGGCGGAGGCGGAGGCGGAGGCGGAGGCGGAGGCGGAGGCGAAGGCGGCGGCGGAGGCGGAGGCGGGGGCGACGGCGAAGGCGGCGGCGAAGGAGGAGGAGGAAGAGGAGGAGGAGGAGGGGGCGGAGGAGGAGGAGGAGGAGGAAGAGGAGGAGGATGTGGGGGAGGTGGAGTGGGTGGAGGAGGAGGAGGAGGGGGAGGAGGAGGAGGAGGAGGAGGAGGAGGAGGAGGGGGAGGTCGTTCTCGGAAGGCGAAGGGGAGCGCGCTCTTTGGGGCCCGGGCCCGCCTCCTCGAGGCAGTGGCGCTTCCTCTCGAGGACGTGGCGACCCGCCCAACGTGGTGACCCAACCCCCCTTGGCATTGCCCCCCGCGCGCGGCCGCCTGGACTCCTTGCCGCCTGGACCTCCCCCCTTACGTGTGTTCGGTAGCCAATCAAGGTTGCCTGCTATATCCTATTCAGTCCGTCGCTGGTGCCGATTCGCTCCGATTCGCGCCTGTGAGTCGATGAGATGGCGCCGATTCAGCGTCGGTCAGCGTCGATTGGCATCGATTTAGCGTCGACCAGCGTCGATTACGGCCGATTCGCAAGAGCCGACAAGATGGTATGGGAGGCTCTCATGAGTTGTCCCCCGTGCGCGTGATCGCACGATGCAGGGGCTCTTGTGGGGCACGGGCGCCTCAGGTTCCAGCACCGTTCGGCGTAGGCGGAGGGTTCGGGGCGCGCGCCACGGAGGCGGAGTCCAAAAACACAGGCGGCGTCGGCATCCTCCTGGCGTGCCGAGGTCCGTGAGCTAGACACTCGGAACTTTCCGCAGGAACGTCGCAGGCCTACGATTGGCACCACCACCAATATCGTCGGTGTTCCTCCACAGAGGGAAGAAGATCCCGATCTCGGTGATTGTTGCAATATTTTGGCTTCCAAGGGGACCGACATATTATCACCCACACCTGAATCTAGGATCCCCCTTGTGGAGGCAGTCGCCTCTCTTGGTGTTGGTGCCCATTTCCAGGCCTCCAAGATCGTGGAGCCTCCAGGGAGTACCTGGAGGCAAAGTTCAACATCACGCGTACAATGTTTTGCAGGACTTGCGCGCAAGGTTTTGCGGTGCAGCAGGTTCGCATCGTGTCGACGCGGCGGCGACCCCGCCGCGGGCGTTCAATGTTGAACGCCTCCAGTGGCCCAGAACTGGCCGATAGGGAACGATCTGGCGATCAAACAGCCGCCGACCTCTCAAGGTTGAACGATCCACGAAGAGCCAGAACCAACGCCGAAGTCGTCACGACACGAGCTTGCCGCACTCTTTCGGGATCCTGGCATGAAGACTCCAGGGCCTCGAAGAGACTCCGGGGAGCCCTCCCGGGTCAGGGGAGGCGCCAGGCAGGGCCGACTTCGATCCGATCGATCCGATTCGATGTCGATTCCGGCCGGCACGATCCGATTCGATTGCGATCCGATGCGTTCCGATGCGTGCGTAGCGCTGTTGTGCATCCTGGCGCAGCCGATCTGATTCGAGTTCGATTCCGTGCCGGACCAGCCCGACCCGATGCACACGTCGAGCCGATCCGACTTACTGATGCGATGCTGGCTAGTCCTGCCAGGCGCCCCCGAGGGGGGGGCTCGTGAAGCCTCCCAGGGGCTTCTGTGGAAGCTCATCTGGAGCCCCTGAGTCTCGGGCGGCGCTAGGACGAGGCGAAGTCCGTTCCATCAAGAGGCCCAGAGCGCTCTGGAATGCTCTCATAAGGCCGCCGCGCCCGAGACATCCTCCAGAGCCGCCAGATTTCTACCACTGCCCGGATTTATGTCCTCGTCCTGGCTTCGTCTTGGATTCTTCCAGGGGCCCGCGAAGGCCTACTCATGGCCCGAGGCCGTCCTGCCTCATCCTCCTTTGCGGCCGCCCTCGGATGCCCCCCTGGCCGCCTGGGTACAGTCCACCCGCACAGCAAGGATGGGCAGCCTTCCCAAGGGTACCCCTTGCATCCTTGCCTGCTCGGTCCATCCTTCGCCGCTGTCGCTGGCCGCGCCCCGCTCGAAAAGCGTCAAAACGGGCGTCCAAGCCCCTTGCATCCTCATCGCGCATCCTTGCTACATTGGTTGACTGTACACGTCGCCCCGCAGCGCCCCCTTCTCTCACGCCGCGGTCGCGGTGCGCGTGTTTTGCACCGCTGCGACTCTCCAAAAACCTACTCATATAGGGACAGTGCCAGGAGCCCGTTTTTTTCTTGCTTGGCGCATGACGGGCGTCATGGCCCCCGCTCCCCCCCCGCCCCCTATGACGTAGCGGCGCTCCCCCCCCATTGCACTCTGGGCACTGTTGCCGTGCGCATTGGGATCCGCGTAGGTGTCCGCGTAGGAATCCGCATAGGAGTCTGGTGCGCTGTCGTCGTCGTCGTCGTCGTCGTCGCTCGTGGCTTGTCGCTCGTCGCTCATAGTCGTCGTGCGCGCGGACGCGGCTGAAGCCTGTTTTTTATTCCGGGCCGATGACGGCAATCATTTACGGGGGGGTGGAGGGATTCGATGACGTCGCGTTTCGCGCCGGCGGCGTCTGGGAATGATTAGGAATGACGGAGGGCGGGTAGCGCCAGCATGTAGGTGGCGAATTGCACCACAACGCACGTGTACACCACAGTGCCCGCGTGCACCACAGCGCTTATGTACAACACACCGCCCATCTACACAACAGCAGCCGCGTGCACCACAGCGTCAGTTTGAGCCACCGTGCGCGTGGGCACAACAGCTCTTGTGCACACCACAGCGCTTGCGTACACCACATCCGCCGTGTGCAACACCGCACCAGTGTACACCACAATTCCTGAGTGGATTGCACTGCCTATGTACACGACGGCGCTTGTGTGCACCACAGCAACCGTGTGTTACACAGCACCATCGTTGCAAATATAATGTTTTGACGAATCCTTACGATAAAATGGAACGCGTGTGAATTTCTCCAAAAACAATAGAAACTGATCATCATGGTCAGCGGGGCGCCGCTGGAATCTAGGAGTCTTCCCGAATCTGCCCGCATGACCCCAACTCATCCCACTTGCGTCCAGGACGCTCCACCTAGTTTGGCCGTTCGATAACCAAGTGGACCGATTCAATCGACCATTCTGCGGCGGTGCGGGCTGAGATGCGCACGTGCGCTGCAGCGCCAACCCGCACGACACGGGGTAAGGAGGAGGAGCCGGAGGAGGAGGTGGAGGTGGAGGTGGACTAGGAGGGAGGAGGGAAGAACGTCGCATTCGCTTATCAGCCTTTTGTCCTAGCGCGGCGTCTAGTTCACCGCAGCAGATCCTGACGTACATGCACCCTCTACCTGTCCTATGCACGCAGGCATTCTGGTGTACACCAGCGCAGCGTTGTACGCGGATGCTGTGGTTAGACACGCGCCGTGGCGTGCACAGGTGTTGCGGTGCACGCAAACATTGTAGTGTACACAGGCGCTGCGTTGCACATGGTAGCTGCGGTGTACACATGTACACCGGCGCTGTAGTGTGCGCAAGCACTCTGGTGTACACAGGCGCTGCTTTGCACACGGTTGTTGCGGTGTACGCAGGCGTTGTGGTATACACGCGCGCAGTGGTGCACGCGATCGTTGTGGTGTACACAGGCGCAGTGGGGCATATCGGAAACGGCCCTGTTCCGACCAGGCCCTGTTCCACCGGCCCTGTTCCAGCCGGCCCTGTTCCGACCAGGCCCTGTTCCGACCGGCCCTGTTCCAACCGGCCCTGTTCCGACCGGCCCTGTTCCGACCAGCCCTGTTCTGCCAGCCCTGTTCCGCCGGCCCTGTTCCGTCCAGCCGTGTTCCGCCGTCACGATGTCCCATGTGGCAGCGCTCTCTAGGCGGGTCCGAACCGGGCGGGTCGGAACCGGGCGGGGCGGAACCTGGCGGGTCGGAACCGGGCGGCAGGCAGCTGGCGGCGGGCGGCGGGCGGCCGGGCGGCCGGGCGGCCGGGCGGCGAGCGGCGGGCGGGCGGGTCGGAACCGGGCGGCCCGCCCGTTAGGCTACTCGCGCGCCCACTCGATTACGCAACATACTTTAATGTCAAACCCGCCCGACACGACCCGCCCGTCCGCCCGCCCGACCCGACCCGCCCGTTAGGGTCCGCCCGCCCGACCCGACCTGTCCCGCCCGTTAGGGTACTCGCGCGCCCATTCGATTACGCAACATACTCTAATGCCCCGCCCGCCCGACCCGACCCGCCCGCTAGGGTCCGCCCGCCCGACCCGACCCGCCCGTTAGGGTCCGCCCGCCCGACCCGACCCGCCCCGCCCGTTAGGGCACTCGCGTGCCCACTCGATTACGCAACATACTTTAATGCCCCGCCCGCCCGACCCGACCCGGCCGTCAGGGTCCGCCCGCCCGACCCGACCCGCCC